TCCGCTGCTGCTGTCCGAGCACCTCGCCTTCGACCGAGGGGCTCTTTTCAGCGACGGTTCGTGCCCCTATATAGGTGACTGCAATGCCGTCCTCTTGGTTGCTCGCTCTGGGCCCGAGTTTTGGGCCACTCCTCGGAAGCGTTTCGGGGGTCTCTGGAGGGGGCTCTCTCGCCAGGACGGGGCCTACAGTGCGCCCATTAAGGCAAAAGCCCACGTCGAGGTCCCAACCTGCCCTGTTTCGGAGACAGATTGGCGTGCCTGGCTTAATGACCAGGCCGACCAGGCCGCCAAGCTAGCCTGTAAGCTACATCCTACGTCGGGCCAGGTTACGGCCAGCCCGGAAGACCAGCTTCTCAGGGTAAAGACATTCATGTATGCCGCCTCCCGTGTGCTCGAGTTGGGACCAGCTCCTCGGGATGAATGGAAGGACCTCAAGCGGCCGCACAGCGGCCGCACGCCAGCCTGTATGATCGTTCACGAGTTCGTCCAGGTCGGGCCCTCCAGGTGGCAGTGCAAGCGATGTTTGCGGTCGAAGGTGCCTCCAGACAGCGCCCTGGACCGTAAGGACTGTAGGTGAAGTGACATCCCCGGGAGTTTTAAGCGGGTGACGCAGTTTGCTCACACCCACGATATTGAATGGTGTCAGCTCACCCCTCGGCACGAGGCCGGGGTCGGTGACACCCTCTTGTTCTGCAAGACATGCTGCCAGTATGCCACCTCGAAGCCGCTGGGGCTGGGTAAATCTTGTCCCAGCTTGAGTGTGGTCGGCTGGCAGCGTCATGAAGCTGCCCAGCACAAGATGCGCCGTTTCCATCAGGGCAAGCGCCCCAAGTGCGGCCAGAGCGAGATGATAATCGCGAACTGGCCCCTCTTAGCTCAGGTCTACGGGGAATGTGCTCCCGAGCCATAGCCATTGGCTCGCTTGTCTCTGGCCCCTGTCTCAAGCCAGGGAACCGCTTGGCGAGAGAAACAAAAACCCTCCTCCCTCCTCCCTCCTCCTCCTCCTCCTCCTCCTCCTCCTCCTCCTCCTCCTCCTCCTCCTCCGCCTCCGCCTCCTCCTCCTCCTCCTCCTCCTCCTCTCCTCCTCCTACTCCTCCGTCCTCCCTCCTCCCTCCTCCCTCTCCCTCCTCCTCCTCCTCCCCCTCACTCCTACCTCCCTCACCCCCTCCCTCCGCCTCCTCCTCCTCCCTCCTCCTCCGCCTCCCTCCGCCTCCGCCTCGCCCTCCACCTCCTCCTCCTCCCCTCTTCTCCTCCTCCTCCTCCTCGCCTCCTCCTCCTCATCCTCCCCCTCCTCCTCCTCCTCCTCTCCTCCTCCTCCCCCGCCCTCCTCACTCTCCTCCTCCTCCTCCGCCTCCTCCATCTCCTCATCTCCTCCTCATCTCTCTCCTCTCCTCCTCATCCTCCTCCCCCTCCTCTCCTCCTCCTCCCTCCTTCCTTCCCTCCTCCCTCCTCCCCTCCTCCCTCCTCCCTCCTCCCTCCTCCCTCCTCATCCCCTCGCCTTCCAGCGACGCCCCCCGCCCTCTCGGAACGCCGCCTCCCTCGCCTGCGCCCGCTGCGCCCGTGAGCTCGGGGGGGGGAGGGGGCGGCCCAAAAGGCACCGCCACGGCCGCGCCGCGGACCCCTCCCCGGGCGCGCTCTGGCCAGGCACTTCGGGGAGAGTCCCGCCGTGTTGACGAAGGCTCTCCAGCAGGGCTGAACCTAGACGGTGTTTTTCGTTTTCGGTTTGTTTTTTCGTTTTCCCTCGTTTTATCTTCGATCCGCCTTCCACGCGAAACGAAAGCGAAACGAAAACGGCCCACGAAAGCGCCAAAACACCGTTTAGGTCCAGTCCTGCTCTCCAGGACGAGCAGCGGTGTCGGTATCCGCCGACCCCTTGGGGTCATCGGCGTGTGAGATGCTTCCCCCCTCCCCAAACCCCTCCCCCCGGAGCCTGGTCCGGTCGTTTTGGAGGGGGGGGGGGGGGGTCCGGCCGGATTCCCCGGGATCCGCCGGCGCGGTCCGGGGGGGGTCATCCGCTCCAGAGAGTCTGCTGGGGGGGCCGCAAACGAGCGAAGAGGCTCCCAAGAAGCTCTGCAGACGGTCCAAGAGGGCCCCGAGTCGCCGAAAAAACACTCGAAGACGGTCAAGATGGCCTCCAGATGGCCCCAGATGCCTCCAAGACGCCCCAAGAAGCTTCCAAGACGCCTCCCAAGATGGCCCCAAGAGGCCAAAATCGTCGATTTCCATTGGTTTTTTCAACGTTTTTGGCCTTCGCGTTTTTTCGGGCTTCCGACGCTCCAAGACGGCGAAAGAAGCCCCCAAGACGGCATCAAGACGACCCGAGAGGCTCCCAAGTGGGCCCCAACACGGCCCAAGAGCGCCTCAAAACGGCTCAAGAGGGCCTTCAGACAGTCCAAGAGGGCCCACAGAGGGGCCCAAGAAAGGCTCCAGACGGGGACCACGAACCTAAAATTCTAGCCTTCCGCCCCAAAAGGCGCCAAGGAGGCCCCAAGAGGCCTCCAAGAGGCTCCAAGAAGCCCCCAAGAGGCCCCCAACAAGCCCAAAAAAAGCCCCAAGCTGCCCCAAAACAGCTCCCCAGAAGCCTCCAAACTGCCTCCCGCAGGCCCCCGAGAGGATTCTCACAAGAGGACCCCGACGCGCCAGAGAAAGGAAGAAGAACCAAAAAAAAAAATGATCGACCAAGATGACATCCAGACCACTCATGAACCCCTCCGGCCGCCTCACAGAGCCTCCAACAGAGCCCCTCCCAAAACCGGCGATCGCCCCAGAAAAAAAAACAAGGGGTCGGCGGATGTGGCGTAAGCTTGAAGAATCTTTCCCTCCGCCGATGTGCGCGCCGCCGAGGACCGCCGACTTTCCGCCCTCGGGGGTCTCGAAGACCACCGGCTGGCTCCAGATCCTGGAGAGGAAGAGCCAGGACCGTGATTCAAAAGTACTTTGAAATAGTTAGTACAATCGTCCCCATATTGTTATCTTTGAAACCTATGTTTAAATCTTCCTCCTGTAGAGGGACATGCTCGACTTAGTAGCAGTCCTGCCTGGCCTCAGAAGGCACCCCGGATGATCCAGGGCGGTCTCAGCACACTGGCCCTGGGGCGCGAAGCGCCCGAGGGGTGCCGACGGAGGTGGCGCCGGGGTGTCGGGAGAGCCCCAAGACCAGGCTACTCGGGGGCCTCTTGAGGCCAGCCAGCACTACTCGGGGGGGGCCTATTGAGGCCAGCCAGGACTACTCGGGGGCCTCTAAAGGCCAGCCAGCACTTCTCGTGGGGGCCTTTTGAGGCCAGCCAGGACTACGTTAGGGGGGACGCCTGTGCGTAGTCCGAAGCCTTGCCAATCGGCAAGATCCCGCGATCTCTTGGCCATGATCACCGCGCAGTGCAACAAGTGACGACGTCGCCTCGTCGGACTGGCCTACTCTACAATGGCTATGGTTCTCCCTGCTGCCAGCACGCGCGCGCAGGAGCAGAGAGGGACGGGAAACGGAAGGAACTGCCCGACTGCGCCGCTCCACTTCGAGGAGCCAGCGACGGACACGAGAGAGACGCGGGGACCAAAAAGCAGTCCCGCGACGTCTTGGTCATGGTCATCGCGTGTCTTGCAATCGAGGCATTCACCTTCAAGAACCCCAAATCAGGAACGAGGTCCCTGTTTTCCATCTGCTAACCATCAATCCCCCATCGAAAACTTAAGGACAACCTGAGGCAAGGTGTGGAACAATCAAGGAGCACCGAGCCCCTCCCCAACGAAAAGGGTTCCTTCTTCAGCCCCCCGACTGTACAAGATCGGGTCGGGCGAAAGGGGGGGGGATAGCAAAGGGGGGGGTTGAGAATCAGCTCACGTAGCTGATTTTCCCGGCGCCTCCCGGCGCCGGAGGCGGCCATGTATCGAGGAATGGGCCCCTCGGTGGGGCCGAAACCAGCTGCATGCAGCAAATTTCGTAACCCCCCCTTTCCCTGATGGTCCGCTACCGAAAATTTCCGGTAGCGCTCCGCAGAGATCGGTCGCTACCGAAATACCGAAATGTAGCGCCCAATACCGGTATCAGAGCGTTCTGAAACCCGCTGTTTCAACGCCCTCGAACGAAGATCCGGTCGCTACCGAAATTCGGGGTGCGTCGAAATCGCTACCGAAAATCTCCGGTACCAGACCATCTGGGTTCCCAATCCCCCCCTTTCGTCCAGCCCGACAAGAACCCACAAATCTGCATAAACATAAGTCTTCCGGAGCTCCGCGCGGATTCCTTGGATCCTGCGCTGGAGCTGCCTCCCTGGCGCGCTCCGCGCACCCGGGGGGGCGGCGCCAGAGGCGCCGCCAGGGGGAGCCTGGCGCCGATTAAAGAAATCCGCGCGGAGCTCTAAGTCGGGCCTCTCCCCCTACAGGGGGATTTTCGACGAAGAATAAAAAATACCCCCACAATAGTCCAAGAATAAATCCAGAAATGAAAAACATACAAATAATCCAAACATAGTCTGGGAACTATCTTTGGAGTATGGTTTGACCATTTTGGGGTATTTTTGAATATGTTTGAACTCTCGTCGAAAATCCCGCTGTAGGGGGACACGCCCGACATAAGTTTATGCTGGTACTTCTTCTTCGATCTCTTTCCTCGAGGTCCAGATGCCGAGCGTCACCGTCTGACAGTCCCATGCCCATGAAGGTCTCTACCCATTCCCCAAGATCGATTTGCCATCCTGATCTTGACAATCCTGGGGCCTGGCGAGGGCCCCCAGTGGACGAAAACTGCCAGAACCGCCCCGTGGTGATATTCTCATGACCCGAAGGGTCTGGGGTTCAGTGCCTCAAGATCCAGCTTTGGGGTTATGTTGCTCCCATCGTACTCAAGGACCACATCCCAAAAATAATTTCGAGCACTCGGAAAAGTGTCGAAAGAGTGTCAAAAGAGTGTCGAAAGAGTGTCGAAACAGTGTCGGGCGAGTGTCGCCCAGGGCCCAACACGTGAAAACCCTCGAGTTTCGGTATCTTGCTGGTGCTCGCAATTCTTTCTGGAGATCAAGGCTAAAAGTAGGTTGGAAGATTTTAAATCTGGGGAAGCAAAAGGATGCCGAGACCGCTTCTCCGGACCTCGCCTGGTGTGCGTTCCGACCAGCATGTCGAGGCGGATCCAGGAGCGGCGCCGAGCAAGGGCCTGCCTGGAGGCCCCGGAGAGCGAAAACCAGGCAAGGGTAGCGATACCGTGGGAGGCCAGTCCACGAGAAGCCTGCCACAAGAAACCCAACCCTGAGACCCCAGGACGTCCCTTGGTCTTTGGTGTGGGAACGTCGCGCTGTCCATGGCAAAACCACCGAGACCCAGGAAGCCCAGGGCAGCCTGGAAGCGAGCAGGGTGTTTCTTGGCATGGGCCTCCGCTGTATCCTACCTCCCATACCCAGGCGTCATGATTTTTTCAGAACGCCGACCCTCAGAAGCCGACCAATTCCCTTGGACCCGCTTTTCATCCTGAGTCGTTCTCTGACGTCCCCGTGGGCCAGCAAGGGCCCCCATGGGCCGAACATCGGGAAAAACCTCACGCCATGATCTGTTCATGACTCGAGGGGGTCTGGGTCGGAGGTCTGCAGGCGAGCAGGGCGTTCCCTGGCAGGGGCCTCCGCTGTATCCGTGCCCTCCTCCCCCCTCTGAGCGTTCTCTCTCGTCGAGGTCCAGGTGCCGAGCGTCGCCGTCTTGCGGTACCCTGCCTCTGGCGGCAAGTCGGGCCTGTCCCCCTACAGGGGGATTTTCGACGAAAAACAAAAAATACCCCCAAAATGCAACCAAGGCCAACAAAAATACTCAAAAAATAGTCTCCAGACAATTTTTGGACAATTTTTTTGATATGTTTAGGGTATCTCTTTATTTTTCGTCGAAAATCCCCCTGTAGGGGGACAGGCCCGACGTACCTCTGGCGCCGCCCCCCGGCGCGCTTGTCGCGCGCCAGGGAGAGGCCTCTGGCGCGGACCCACGGGAAGTCCGCGCGGACCTCCCAAGAGCTTCTGCCCTCGCCCTTCCCTCCTGCCCCGGCGCGCTTCTCGCGCGCCAGGGCGAGAGGCCGCCAAAGCGCGAGCCCACAGGAAGTCCGCGCGGACCTCCCAAGAGCTTCTGCCCTCGCCCTTGCCTCCTCCCCCGGCGCGCTTGTCGCGCGCCGGGGAGAGAGGCCGCCAAAGCGCGGGCCCAGGAGAAAGTCCGCGCGGACCTCCGAGAGCTTGTGCCCTCGCCCTTCCTCCTCCCCGGCGCGCTTGTCGCGCGCCAGGGAGCGCTTGTCGCGCGCCAGGGCGAGGGGCCGCCAAGGCGCGGGCCCACAGGAAGTCCGCGCGGACCTCCCAAGGCTTCTGCCCTCGCCCTTCCTCTGCCCCGGCGCGCTTGTCGCGCGCCGGGGAGAGGGGCCGCCAAAGCGCGGGCCCGGGAGTCGGGGATCCTCTGACCCGGGTCAATCCAGACCCGGGTCAGTCAGAGCATGCAGGATCCTGCAAGATCCTGCACCCAAGCCCGGGTCAACGCGAAGGATCCTGCAAGATCCTGCAGGATCCTGCACCCAAGCCCGGGTCAGTGCACCCCTGGCCCTGCAGGATCCTGCAAGATCGGGAGCTCTGGCTGACCCCCGTGTGCATCGACCCCCGTCTCCCCTGACCTTCCAGAGAGCTATTTTTTAGCACTGGAAACCTAAAAACCTAAAAAACGAGACGAAACAGCCTAAAACCAAGACGTAAAATAGCTCTGGGATAGGTTTTTACGTCGGGTGCTATTTTTTAGCCCTCCTGGAAGGTCAGGGTCAGGGCTCCCGAAGCAGAACTCCGCGCGGGCCGCCGGAGGCTTCTCTGCTCTCCCCCCCGGTGTGTGGCGCCCCTCGCGCGGAGCACGGAGCCAGGCACGCCTGCTGGTCTCGGAAGGTGTGGAGGAGAGCCGGGGGGCTCTCTTGGAGCCCTGGAGAGGAGCACCGGCACCAGCACCAGCACCAACACAAGGGACTGCCTCCACAGGGGGGAGATATGATCCTAGATTTCGGTGCTGGTGGTCCTATCTCGGCCACCTTGGGAGCCAGAACATTACCACCATCACCGAGATCGGGATCCTCTTCCCTCGGTGGAGGCACACCGCGGATATTGGTGTTGGTGTCAACCTCTAGGCCTGCGACTCTCTTCCAGGGCGACCGAACCGTGCCTGTAGCCACTGCTCCCTGGCCAGGCCCACCTGGAACCCAGCAGCCGTGTGTGCGCCACTGCGTTGCGTGATACTCTCTTGGGTCTTGAGTGAGGCTGTAACTCGTGGAGCTCTTTCGTTCGACCAGCGCGAGAGGAATCCGGAGACATGATAGAAAGCCAGTGGGCCAACTCGTCGCGCTCGCCGGTCAAATTCTTAAGTCCGCAGCTCAAGTAGTCCTCCTGGCCTGGCCATGAAGGCGCTTAGCTGCCCCGATACGCAACACGCAACACGTACCGTATCGATACGGAACTCAGCACGTAGGCTGAACACGTAGGTCCGACGCGATACATTCGCCAAAACGTGGTGCAATACGTGGAGCCAACACGCAACGTATTGACACGAACGTTTTGAACACGGGACGTGTTGCGCTTGAAAACGCGCGTATCGAGGTGAAGGCGTACACGCAGCGTCTGGGCCAGGAGAGGCCTGGGGGAGGAGGGAGGAGGGAGGGAGGAGGGAGGAGGGGGGAGGGAGGAGGAGGAGGGAGGAGGGGGAGGAGGAGGAGGAGGAGGAGGAGGAGGAGGAGGAGGAGGAGGAGGAGGAGGAGGAGCCGAGGGGCCGGTCTTCCCTCGAAGTCCAGATGCCGAGCGTCACCGTCTTGCGGTCCTGCCTCGAGGCGAACACCGAGCGCTGGCCGCTCGCGACCTCGCCGCCGGCGGGCTCGGAGCCCGCCCACCGCGGCGGCGCGCAGGTGCCCGATCCTGAGGCGAGGCTGAAGTCGGAGGGGCGTGAAGGTGGGGTAGGGGCAGAAGTTCGGGCAGAGGGAAGTCGCTGGAAACAACGGCCCGTGCAAGAGGGAAATGCGAGCAGTATCCAGCTGGGCACGCACGTGGCCTAACCCCACCTTGGGACAGACCCCCCCCTCTGCGAACCCCCGGTGAAGCTGGAGGGGCAACGATAGGATGGCGACAGTGAGCTCACTGAAGGCAAAATGTTTCCAATGGTGATAGGAATGGGACCGACGGCAACGCAAGTTGACAATCGGTGCCAATCCACTCAACAGTCGTCAGAAAGCTGCACGCGGAGGCCTGGAGAGCTGCCCGAGGGGAAGGAGGGGGGGGGGGGGGGCAAAAGTACAGTTGAGGACATGACTACTTCTGCCGTCCCTCGACCCCAGACCCCTTTGGGCCGTGACAAAAATCGCGACGGGCTTTGTTGGGGCAGAGTTCGGACTCTGGGGGCCCTCGCCGAGGCCCCAGAACCTTCAAACAGACTCGGGATGAAGAGCCAATCTTAGGAAATGGGTCGAGATCTCCAGGGGTCCACGTCATGACAACAATCATGACGACGGGGGTCTGCGCAAAGCAGCCACGACTTGCTCCAAATGTCCTCGGAGATCTCTGGGTTTGTGTGATGTGGGCGTGCACGGATGCGCATGGGAACCCCTTGATTTGCCTCGATGTATCTGCACATACCTTGATTGATGTGGCTTGATCCCGACCGACTGGCAGACGGTCGTCAAGCCCTCGGGGACAAAGCTTGTGGGGCCGCGACCAGGCGAACCAAGGCAAGTCGAGGCAGGCCAAAAACAGGGTGAGCCCAGCAGGGCAAGGCCAAGTCGAGGCCAGGGGGGACAGCTCGGTGTAGAATGTTTATTTCGTTCTGCTTATCCTTCATATTTGTATAAAAATGAAAAAGAAAAAGAAGAAGAAGAAGAAGAAGAAGAAGAAGGAGGAAAGCTGAGGGACGAATGCGGACAGACGAGCCAAGAACGTGAGCGAGTGCAGTGAGTTTAACTTGCCTTCTCGACCAGGCGTGCGCTCGCCAATTCGCTGCACTCGCTCAGTCTCGGTGTGGAAATTTACGAACGTCTCCAGCAGCTCCCGAAATTTTCGAGTCTTGGGGGGGCTAAAACTGGAGGGGCCACGATAATATGGCGGCAATGAGAGCCCACCGAGGGACAAACAGGCTGGCGGCAAGGAGCTCACTGAGGGCGAACATGCTTTCTCTCGGTGGGCTCATCTGCAGCCACGCCGTCGCAGACGTGTGGCTGAGGAGCGCTCCGGCGGGAGCGCGGAACGTCTCTTGCACCAGAAAGCCAAAGCACCTCTCGCTCCAGTAAGGATCGGGGGGGGGTCAGGCGCTGGGGAGGAGTCTTCGAACATGCCAGGACCCGAAACCCGGGAGCGGCGGGGCCACCCAGCTTCGCGCATCGATCCTGGGGGGGGGGGCCCACAGCCCAAGGACCCCCTCGCGCCGTGGACGGACATCACGACGGAAGGTCTTTGGCTGTGGATGCCAGGGCAATGGAGACTCGAACAGTCCCATCATTCCCTACCTAGGCTCTGCCTAGAAGGGTTCTTACTCTCTTGGCTTAAAGGGCCGGGCAGTGCTACACGCCCCGGGCGGTTCCCCCGACATCCGCCCCGCGGTTCCCCCGGTTGCGTCCCCTTAGCTTAGCGCTGCTTATCTCATCTTAGCTTAGCTTAGCTTAGCTTCATCTTAGCTTCGCGTAGCTGTAGCTTAGCTTAGCTTAGCTGTAGCTGTAGCTGTAGCTGCAGCTGTAGCTTAGCTTAGCATACCATAGCATAGCCCAGCATAGCATAGCATAGCGCAGCATAGCATAGCATAGCATGGCATAGCATGACATAGCATAGCATAGCGCAGCATGGCATAGCATAACGCAGCATAGCATAGCATAGCATACCATAGCCTAGCATAACATAGCGCAGTCTAGCGTAGCATAGCATAGCGCAGCTAGCTTAGAGTAGCTTAGCGTAGCAGAGCATAGCCTAACATTGCATAGTGCAGCATAGCATAGCATAGCATAGCATAGCATAGCATAGCATAGCAGCAAATCAAAGGCAAAGCAACAGCAGCAACAGCAAAGCAACGCACAAGCAACGCAAAGCACAGCAGGACAAAACCAAAAGCAAAGGAAAGGCAAAGCAAACGCAATGTGCAACAGTACGATCAGAGAGCCCACCCGGTGAGCGAATGCAAAAACATGCGTGTGTGTGTGCGAAGGCAAAGCAAACACAAAACCAAGCAAAAGCAACAACAAGCAAAAACAAAGGCAACTACGACGATGAGGAGAAGGAGGAGGACGGCGTTTACCGTTACTACTAATGCTGCTTTCCTAGGGGCTCCAACTCCTAGGTAGGGTCGCACTGGGGTAATTGATGTAAGAATGCGTCTGGCATGTGTGCTTTTCAATGTTAAGCCATGTGTGCTTCACATGATTAGAACCTGATTTGACGTATTCGCTTGAAGGATGTCTTATACATGTTTAGACGTCTGGGAATTGCTTGGCAACATGCCCCCTCTCCATGGATCGGCTTCCACACATTTGTTCCCGTTCTCGGCCTCCAAAGGCCTTGCCCGAGCCCCCCGTGAACCGTCAGAGAGCGACGCCAGGATGGAAAGCCGGCCCCGGGGGATGGGCCGAGACCTCCTCGGCTACAGTGGGAGCTTGACCACAAGAAGCCTTCCACAAGAAACCCAACCCTGAGACACCATGACGTCCAGTGGCTTTGGGCGTGGGAACGCCACGCGTTCCATAGCAGAACCATCTAGACCCAAGAAATCCAGGGCACCCTGGAGGCAAGCAGGGCGTTTCTTGGCAGGGGCTCTCGCGGTACGCGCAAGAGTGACCCTGGGCAAGAGTTTAGGGTTTAGGGTTTAGGGTTTAGGGTTTAGGGTTTAGTGCGCGGCCAAGGGGGGCGGGCCCTTTGGGGACACCACCAGGCGCGCAAGCCGCTGCCACCGCCTCGCATTCGGGGATCGGGGGGGCCCACTTGCGTTAGGTCGGACCATGCCCTCCTACAGGCGGATTTTGGACGAAAAATTAAAAAGTCAGAAAACACCCCAACAAATATTCAACAATAGTCAAACAATCGTCCCCAGACCTCACTCGGCGGCGAGCCCAGGGGGGGAGTGAGAAGGAGAAGGCCTTCCCAGACGGCTCGGAAGTCCCCCGGCCTTCTGGGAAATCTTCTGGGCCTTCCGCGGAGACACAGAACACGTCCCAGCAGGTGCAAGGTTTTCTGAGAAGTTCCGCCGCCTTCTGAGAATGAAGGGGCCCTGGGACACACAAACAAGTGGATACAAACAACCAGACTCCCCATAGAGTTTCCCACATGTTCTGGGTGTTTGTCTTCCCCTCCATATTTTCCCTTGATTTCCCCTATTTTCCCGGAGATCGACGATGACTTGCGTCTGTGTTTGTGTTCCCTCCTGAGAGAAAGCCTCCTCCCGCTCACTTCCCTTGAGGCGGGCGCGTCCCCCTACAGGGGGATTTTCGACGAAAAATAAAGCATACCCCCAAAAATAATCAAAACATAATCCAAACACACAGTCTGGGGACTATGTGTTTCGGGTACGGTTTGCCCTCCTTGGGGCATGTTTGGGGTATGTTTTATTTTTCGTCGAAAATCCCCCTGTAGGGGGACACGCCCGCCTTAAGGGAAGTGAGAAGGAGGAGGCTTTCTCTCAGGAGGGAACACAAACACAGACGCAAGTCATCGTCGATCCCCCGGGAAATAGGGGAGAACAGGGGAAAATATGGAGGGGAAGACAAACACCCAGAACATGGGAAACTCTATGGGGAGTCTGGTTGTTTGTGTCCACTTGTTCCCCCCCTGGCCCCTCGCGCCGCCCCTGGCTGCGCAGCAGTGCCCGCCCGCGGGGCTCCGCGGGGCCGACGCCGCGGGAGCGAGCGCCAACCCGGGCCCGGCCAGGAGAAAAGGGGCCCAGGGGCGCACAAATACATTCGCACAAATAGCTGGATGCCCCACAATTTCCTATGTATCTATATATATCTATATATATATATGTATATATATATGTGTATATATATATACTTACTGGACTTTCGCCTTCCCCCCCACACTTCCCATGCTTTCCCACATTTCCCTGGGGATCGGCGCTTGATTGTGCCCGTGTTGGTTCCCTCCCGACAGGAAGGGGGTGATGACCGGGGCCGGCGGCGAGCAAGGGGGGGCCGGGAACGAGAAGGGGCGGGCCGCCTCAGAAGGCTCGGAAGTCCCCCTGCCTTCTGAAAAGGGTCCTATGCCTGCCCCAACAGGCAGAGAAGCTTCTGAGGAGGCGCGAGGGCCCTCCCACCCTCGCCCGTCCCACTGTGAGGGGCAGCGGTAAGGGGGGGCGGGATATGCTGAGAGGGGGGTGGGCATCGACCCTCAGCGAGCGCGTTCCACTGCTCGCAAAGTGCAGTCTCCCAAACGTCCGGACAAAAATGTCTGGCCTCGTTCGCGTCCCGTCCCTTCCACCCTTGCCCTCCCATGAGGGGCAGCGGTAATTGGGGGGGGGGAGGAAAGCTGAGGGGAGGAATGCGTCGACCCCCAATCGCCCGTTGATGGCCGGAGGGGGTCGGAGCAGACGGGGTCGGAGGATCGCGCCGCATCGCTGATGCATCGGGATAGTGCTCCATGCAGCAGAGCCTGACTTTCCGGTCTACGGGGCTCTGAGTGCCGACGTAGCGGAAGCGAGCGCCAACTCGGGGGCGGCCAGGAGGGGGGTGATGACCAGGGCCAGCGGCGAGCGAGGGAGGGAGAGGCGAGAGAGGGCGGGCCTCCGCGGGAGGCTCGGAAGCCCCCGGGCCTTCTTGAGAAGGCTCCTGGGCCTTCCCCGCAGACAGGGAAGACCTCCCAGGAGACCAGAGGGCTGCCGAGACATCCCGCCGCCTTCTGAGAAGACCTGCTCCTTCTCACGCCCCCCCCCCTACTCCCCGCCGATATCACGCGGCCCTCACTTCTGGAGCCCGCGCGTGCATCATGACTCCTGGCTCCCCCGTGGCAGGGAGCCGTCTGCTTGCGTCGGCCCCGAAGTCCGAGCGTCCAATCCCAGCGGGGCGGCTGGTCCGTGTTGCCGGCCGCCCTCCAGTTCAGGTAGCGGATCACCAGATTCATCAGGAAGCTCTTGCCGATGCGGAACTTGCCCATGATGGCGACGATCGAGACGTCCTGGACGCCGGCGGCTTCCAGACTCTTGGCGATCCTCTCGGAGGCGGCGGCGGGAGCGAATCACCCAAGGGGCGAATCATACATGTACCCATCGGCGGCGAGCGAGGGGGGAAAGTGAGAAGGAGAAGGCCTTCTCAGAAGGCGGCGATTTCTCAGAAGCCCCCCGCGCCATCTTAGGAAGCCTTCTCAGAAGTCTCCTGCGTTTTCGAGGAGGGCTCAGAAAACTGCAGAAGGCCAGGGAACTTCCGCGCCTTCTGAGAAGGCCCGCCCCTTCTCACTTCCCCCTCAAGTTTAAGTCGGGCATGTCCCTCTCCGGGCGGATTCTGGACGAAAAATACAAAATATCCAAAACAAATCCAAAATAGTCAAACATAGTCAAAAATCGTCACCGTTGGATTTTTTTGACTATTTCTGAACATTCCTCCTGTAGAGGGACAAGCCCGACTTAACCTCAGGCTCGCCGCCGAATCCAAGAGCACCGAAGATCCATGTCTTGGGCGAGGCCTTCTGGCGAACCCCTGGGCCAAATTATGCGCCCCTGTCGTCACCTCCTGCCCACCGGTGCGCCGAGGAGTGGGGCATCGAAGAGTGAGATTAGCGCACAAAGAGGGTGCGCATGGAAAGGGGAAGAAGAGTACGAAGAGAGAAAATCACAAAATGAACAGACAAAAAGCGAATCATGTGTCGCCGCGCCGTTTGTTCTCGACGCGCCCAAGTGGCCGACGCCGACACCACGGCAAATCCACGGCAAGCCCTGCCCTCCGCGCCCAAGTAGACGACGCCGGCACCGCGGCGGCGTCGGAGGCGCCGCCAGGAGGGTCTAGCGCGGATCCGAGAAACCCACGCGGACCTCCGAGTTGTTTTATGCTTATGTCATTCTTCGCTCCCGTAGAAAAGGCCAAGCCATCCTCGGCATCGCTCGGACGTCCATTCCCTGTGCTTTTTCGGTTTCGTGCGTGGTTTTTGTCGGCAAATGGTCAAGGATGCTCCTCGATGGGCCTCGCCGAGGAAAAAACGCACACGTCCGAGCGATGCCAGACATCTGGGAGATCTCTTGGCACGGAATAACGCCCCGCATCGCCGGTGCATCGCCGATGCACCGGCGACGTCGGGACGGAGAACGGCGGACGCCGATGGACCGCGCCGCATCGTCGAGGCATCGGCGGCGCGGGCTCGATGCTCCGACCTGGCCTCCCCTGGGCACCGCCCGAGAGGCATGGGAGCCCTCACTTGAGCAGGGACCGACCGTCCCGGCATTCCTAGAGTCCTGCCACGACATTTTCCGAGAACCCAAAGCCGTTCTAAGAACAAAAACAGTGTTCTCAGAACATGAGCGCGATGTGTTCACACAAGACAGACTCCGCCAGAAGTGTTCTAAGAACATTTCGTGGAAAACACAGAAGGTTCTTAGAACATTGCTTGGTAGGGCTATAGGCGAGCGAGGACGCTTCGCCCGTGCTTGACTCACCCCCCTCTCGGCGCCCGGGTCAGCCAAAGGGGGTCTCCGCATGATCCTGCAGGATCCGGTGCCCTTCTCGGGGAAGTGAGACTGGGCGGGCCTTCTCAGACGAGGCTCGCGAGGCCTCCAGCTTCCTGGGAAGTGCTCTCTACGCCCGCCCCGGAGACTCAGGAAACCTTCCAGAAGGCTGCAGGGCTTGTGAGAAGCACCGCCTGCTCCTCCTCCTCCGCCTCCTCCTCCTCCTCCGCCTCCTCCTGCTCCTCCTCCGCCTCCTCCTCCTCCGCTGCTGAAAAGGCCTTCTCCCTCTCGCTCCCCCTCTCGGCGCGCCGCCGACCCCCGCCCCGATGCCCCCGAGATCCTCGCCAGGTTCTCGTCCACGAGGACGACCCGGGTCTCCCCCTCTGGGGAGGCCCCGAGTTGCACCACCTCAGCGGTTCAGAAATTGAGGGGGGGGAGGAGGAGGCGGAGGAGGAGGAGGAGGAGAAGGAGGAGGAGGAGGAGGAGGAGGAGGAGGCGGAGGAGGAGGAGGAGCATGAGGAGAAGGAGGAGAGGAGGAGGAGGAGAAGGAGGAGGGCGGAGGAGGCGGAGGAGGAGGAGGCGGAGGAGGAGGAGGAGGAGCATGAGGAGGAGGAGGAGGAGGAGGAGGAGGAGGCGGAGGAGGAGGAAGAGGAGGAGGAGGAGGAGTGGGAGGAGCAGGAGAAGGAGCAGGAGGAGGAGGGAGGAGGAAGAGGAGGGGGAGGAGGCGGAGGAGGAGGAGGAGGAGAGCAGGAGGAGGAGGAGGAGAGGAGAAGAAGGGGAGGAGAGGAGGGAGGAGGAGGAGGGAGGAGGAGAGGAGGAGGAGGAGGAGGAGGAGGAGGAGGAGAAGAAGAAAAGTGGGAGGAGGAGAGAGGAAGGAGGAGGAGGAGGAAGGAGGAGGAGGGAGGAGGAGGAGGAGGAGGAGGGGGGTGCGGAGGAGGAGGAGGAGGAGGAGGCGGAGGAGGAGGAAGAGGAGGAGGAGGAGGAGTGGGAGGAGCAGGAGAAGGAGCAGGAGGAGGAGGAGGAAGAGGAGGGGGAGGAGGAGGAGTAGGCGGAGGAGGAGGAAGAGGAGGAGAACCAGTGTAAACCCAAGAGTCATCAACAATGTTGGAATGAACCCTCCATCCAAGCTCCCTCTTCGCAGGGCCCTACCACGGTTGATTTCCATTGAGGGAACTGCCTCGTTGGAAAACAACCGTTCGATGATCCTGAAGCGTGCCAAAACATTGCTCTCGGGATTCCAACGCCACGTATCAACCTGACTGCTGCGTCTTGACGATCCGGAAGCGTGCCAGAACGCCATTCTTGGTACTTCAACACAGCGAATCAACATAACTGTTGCGCCCGCATAATCCTGAATCCTTCTAACACACCATTTCTGGTACGTTGGTCACGGGAAGCCGTGAAACCCTTGCAGATGTTCGAAACGAATGTACGCGGCGCTAAGGCGAACGCCACATTTTGAAAACGACCCGCCCTGAATATGTCAAACTCTTGCACTTTTTGAAAACGATTGTGCGCGGCGCTAAGGCGACAGCCAAATTTCGAAAACGACCCGCCCTCAATCCGTGAAACTCTTGCATGTTTTGAAAACGATTGTGCGCGGCGCTAAAGCGAGAGCCACGTTTCGAAAAGATACCGCCCTCAATCCGTGACACTCTTGCAAATGTTTAAACGAATGTGCGCGGCGCTAAAGCGAGAGCCACATCTTGAAAACGACCCGTCCTCAATCCGTGAAGCTCTTGCAACAAATGAAAACGAATGTGCGCGGCGCTAAGCCGAAAACCACATTTTGAAAACGGCCCGCCCTCAATCCGTGAAACTCTTGCAAATGTTTGAAACGAATGTGCGCGGTGCTACGGCGAAAGCCACATTTTGAAAGCGACCCGCCCTCCATCTGTGAAGCTGTTGTCACTTTTAAGCTTCAAAGTCATACATGGTGAGGAAATCTCAAGCGAAACGCCCGACCCGCCCTAAAAACTGGCCTCGGGGTGCGACAGGGAGAAGTTATCGATGAGGAGAAGGAATGGAGGGAGGAGGAGGAGGAGGAGGAGGAGGAGGAGGAGGAGGAGGAGGAGGAGGAGGAGGGAGGAGGAGGAGGAGGAGGAGGAGGAGGAGGAGGAGGAGGAGGAGGAGGAGCGTGGGGGCCTGGATGTCTGGACCACTTTCCCAGGGCCGGCGTCTCGTCCTGGATCGTTCCTCGACGGTCCCGAGGGCCAGCGACGGCCCCTGGAGGCCGGAAGCGGCAAAGGAAGCCTGCCGCTCCAATTCTTTCGGAGCGCCGCTCCCTGGGATGGGGCCCTGGGGGCGAGGGGCCTCAAAGCAGCGAGGGCTCGGCAGGGGAGCCCGCTCCCGTCCTGACAACCGGCGAAGGGATCAGCCACAAGAGTTCAGTTACCCCCCAGGATCGATGCGTCCGCCGAGCCTGCGAACAGCTGCGCAAGAAGTGCTCGGCAGATCTGCGGGGCAGCCCGCGCACTTCTCTCTCGAAGCCCCGACGAACACCCACACACACTTCGGGCGTAGAGCGCTTCTGTGGTCGAGCTCCCTGGCCCGAAGCAGCAGAGGATCGGCGGCGCGCACAGAAGGGGGGTGGCGCAGGGGGGGGGGGGAGAGGAGGGGTGGCCTCCTGCGAGTGCGGGGGTGGGTGGGGGGGGCTTCCAGGAAGGCAGGGGCCTTCCCGGGAGCCCCTGGGGGTGGGTGCATGCCGTGCTGATGCCCGCGGCCCCCTGAGAGTGCGGGGGTGGGAGCCTCCGAGAACAGAAGGCAGGGGCCTCCTCGGAGGCCCCTGGGAGGGGCATGCCTTGCCGACGCCTGCAGATCTCACTCGGGAATGGAGAATGGCATAAACAGAAAAACTCGGAGGTCCGCGCGGACTTCTCGGATCCGCGCTGGACCCCCCTCCCTGGCGCGCGGAGCGCGCCAGGGGCGGCGCCGGAGGCGCCGCCAGGGGGCCCCAGCGCGGATCCGAGAAATCTGCGCGGACCTCCGAGTTATTATGTTTATGTCATGGTTCGTTTCCCTGCTAATACCGTATGCCCTCTCGGGCTCCTCTGCTTTTCCAGTGCCTCCTCGCGCCTTCTGCTCCGCTTCGTCTCTGCACTCCGCTTTTTTTTTTTTTTTTTTGTTTTACCTGGCTGCCGCACACGAGCGCCTCAGACCAGCACCCAGAGGCCGCTCCACGCGAGAGCTTCTCTCGGAAGCCCTCCCTTCTTCCCAGGAGGCCTCCTCGGAGGCCCCCGGGCCCCTCTGAGGCGACCCCTGCCTTCTGAGAAGCGCGCCGCCTTCTTGACAGGCCCCCCCCCCTCGCGCCACCCCCCTGTGCGCGCCGCCACCGTGACGGGGGGCACCGCTGCTGGGGCGCGTCCCGGCCAGGACTTCGGGGCGCAGTGGGAACCGTGGCGACGGAGGAAGAACAGCGGCTTCTGCATCTCTCCCTCCCCTGACTTACAGGGCCCCGCTCGGGGACGCACTGAGGTAGGAGGAGGAGGAGGAGGAGGAGGAGGAGGAGGAGGAGGAGGAGGAGGAGGAGGAGGAGGGTCACTGCACCACCTCCACCTCCACCTCCTCATCCTACACCTCCTCCTCCACCACCTCCTCTTCCTCCTTCTCCTCTTCCTCCACCTCCTGGGTCACTGCAAACCCGCGTCAGTCGGGCATTGACCCGGGTCAGTGCACCCCTGGCTCTGCAGGATCCAGCGCCCTGGCTGACCCTCGTTTGCGTTGACCCCCCTCCCCTTGAACCCCGGCCACCCTGGGGCATGGTCAGGCGTCCCGGGGCTCCAGAGGTCCCGACCCCAGACATGCGACGTCCTGCTTTCTTCAGGACGGCGCCCCTGAAGCCCCGACCCTTTCCCCGGGGCTGGTGTTTCGCCCCGAGTCGTTCTCAGGCGGCCCCGAGGCCCGGCGAGGGCACCCCAGGGCCGAAAATATAGCCGAAGACCTCCCGTCCGGACTTTTGCACGGCGCGCGGCCACGTCGGGGACCCCTCCCCGGAGGGTGTACTTCCGCGGCCCAGAGAGGGCCCGGGCCGGGGGCCCGAAGGGAACGGGCCCGGGGACGGCCGAGCACACCACGGGAGAAGCCGCCGAGCTGGCACGGGTCACGCCGCCCGAGGTCTGTCGGAAGCCGGGCAGGGGCTGCGAAGTCCCTGGCTGCTAAAATCGACCTGCGGGAAGTTGTCTTCGTCCTTCCGGGAGGAAACCCGTTGACTGTTGCGCGTGCCGCGCCTCATTCCGGGAAGTTGTTTCTTCCTTCCGGGAGGGCCGTTTTAGCAGCCACGCTTGTAGCAGCCCTCGCCCAGCTTTCGAATCCGGGACTTTGCCCAGGGCCTTACCCTCGGCTGCACGCAAGAGTGACCCTACAGTCGGGGCGTTGCCCTAAGGAGCCCTGAGTAAGGAGCGGGCCCCCTTTTTTCCCCATAAGTGAAACTTCGATTTACCATGGGAAACCTCAGGAAAACCTGAGGCAAACAGTTAAACAATCAAGGAACACCGAGCCCCTCCCCAACGAGACGGGTTCCTTCTTCAGTGCCCCGACTGTAGGCAAGAGCGACCTTTAATGCGCGACTTTCGGGAACCGCTGAGAGGCCGAACTGGAGTGCGCCAGCCGCTGCTATTGCAGCTCCTTCCGCAATCTGGGGACCCCGGTGCGCCCGCACGCCACTCCGGCGAGAGGTCACTCTCATACGTAGAGCCGCCTCTTCCAGGACCATCTCATCCTGAACCGATTCTCGGCAGTCGTGGGACCCGTGGAGGCGAAGAGGGCCGATGGAGGCCCCCCAGAGCAAGCAACAACAACAACAACAACAACAACAACAATCATTTTACCCGAACGCGTGGTGTTCTCCCCAGTGCCAGGGTTTTCATACGACACCAGGCAATACCCCCACTTCGTGGGGGGGCATTACAAGCTCTACCAAATATCCAAACGACTCTTCGCGACCACCCAAACCCAGCTTCCCGCCCTATGACGTTGGGACACTTCACTTCGTGGCGTGCGGACGACCGTGGCTACTACACTGGCGTGGGGTACACACCCACAGAACTTGGTCACTTATTCGGGGCGCGCATGTGCCCAGCATGGTGCAATTGTGCCATACAATACATAATACAGAGAGACAGAGAGAGAGACAGAGAGCAGACAGAGAGAGAGACAGAGAGAGCGGAGTTGGTCACATTTTTGGGCAAGTTCCTGGGATGATGGGAATACACAGGTGTTTTTCGAGGACCTACGGTGCGATTCGTGTGATTTTATGATGCGCGGTGGTAAAATTCTTAAGAACCCAATGGTTTTTGGAGATTTCGGCGTGCGCGCGCGAAGAAAAAACGAATCTGTCCCGCATGGTATTATTTGACAGGGATGATGGCCCTGGCAGGTGCGCAACCGTTGTCGCAGAAGTTCGAAAAAGT